GTTTTTCAGGAAATGCTGTGTTGCTGGAGGACTCTCACTACCTTTCAGGACAGGGATACCAGGATCATATAAAACATGGCAGGGACCTCGGTCCCAGGCATGAAATCAAACCATTGCCCAGGATATTCTGGTTATAGGATTGCGAGGCACAGAGAGGCCCAGCTTTTCTCCTTGACATGAAGCAAACAAACAAATAAACCACAGCAAGGGTGAGAAACCATCAGAAGTGTGTGAACTATAGCTTCACCTTTCAGATGGTGTCAGCTGTAGTAGGAACACAAAGGAAACTGGTTGGTAGGAAGTACACAGAAGGCTCACACAGGAGTTTACAGAACAGACAGACCCCAGACACACTCATGTCTTTAGCAGGGAAAAGACAAGCAATGGAACCACAGCTGTGGCCTCATCCAACAACTGGGTCAAACTGGAACTTTACACTGTTCTTTCAGCCACTTCACACTGTAGAAGAGTGAACTCCTGCACCAGCCTTTTCTCTGGACAGACAGATCTCTTTCCCCCATCCCCAAACCACACAACAGGAAAGCTGAATCTGCAGACACACACCACTACAAGAAAAGTTGCATGAACAACTTCTTAGATCCCAAGTGTAACAACAAATATTATTTTGTTCATTCCAATAATTTGAATAACTTTAAAATGTTATACAGAACAAAAGCAATCAGCAGCTCAGCTAAAACCCAGTCATCATAGTATCAGCTCAAAGGGAACATCACACATGGGCTCTTTGGAAGCTCTACCACTCATAGTGTAAGATGTGTGAACCCAAAACCTGGCCATTTGAGTCCAAACCATGCAATATCAAAAAATAAGATTCCTTACTTCTTTTCTGATGCGAAAGTTCAAACCCTGGGAATCAACAAAACACCGGCCATATCTCCACCAGCACCTCCTCACACACAACACACCCAACACTCTGCTCAAACTCTTCACAGCTCACATGGTCATCAGAGATCTTCAAAACTGACAGAAAGACACACACATCCCCCCAAAAGAAACGTTGCTCAGACAATGTCTCCTTACTATGGATAATCTTTGACTTCTCACCCTTTGCATGTGACAAGCAAGAGCATTTCTTACAGTGACATTTGAAAGAAACATGTCTATGAAAGGCTTTTTCTTTCCAGCTGTGAACAGGAAGGGCACCTACAGAACAGGCAGGCAGATAGAACAGATCGGATCTTCCACACACTACTAGAGAGAAAGAATCATCTTCAGGTCATCAAAGAGCAAGGCAAAAAATATACACCTGCAGAAAGGAAGAGATCATGACACACTGTTCCCGATTATGTAGCTAAGAGTAGGCAATAATTCAGGTGTTTAGTAAGCAGGGAACACACAGCTTGCTTTTTCCAAAGCTCCCACATGACCTTTGTCATACGCACATAATTAAGCTGTGCAGTTGCACAATTATGAACACAAAGAAATTCCCAGGGCTGGAATAACTATTTGTCATCCAGCCAAACAGTTTGGAAAGGGAATCTCATAGTACAAGGTACTATAGGTGTGTAATGAACCAGAAAACAAGAAAAGCTTTCCCTTGTGTTCTTCAACAGACCCTCCTTACAGCTCTCAGGACTCAAATCTCTGACCCATTCCATTATCCAGGATGCTCTGCAACGCATCTGAGTTATAAGGACATGGCACATAAGGCCCAGTTTATCAGATTCCTCAACCCACCGACTTCACAGAGATATCTTTACATTTCTGCATGAAGATACATTTGTCTACACATTGGTCTCCTGTAAAAAACCCTCAACATTCTGAAAGCAAAAGAGGAGCAGTGCTCCAGTGGATGTATGCAGATGTTCACAGTGGGTCAGTGAATGTCTGCATAGGGGCAATCACCCTCTCCTTACATCTCCCTCTGCACCTTGAGTCTCTCCCCTCGCACTCACACAAGGCTCTCACCATGACATGTATTTTATAGCCAAGGCACATCTAACCCCATTTCACATGGCTCAACCTTAAAAGACAGGAAAACAGCAAAACATTTCCTCCTGTATTTCCCTCTCCACATGCAGCCACCCGAAACTCTTTTTAAACCATCAGAACTGTCAAGATGATCCTTCATCTTCATAACAGGTCGACAGATATCATTAAGGCACCAGCTGTTGCCCGGCCCATTCCCCTACACGGAACACAACGAGGAAGCATGGATTAATGAAAAGACATTTTCTACTGACACCATTATATGTCACAGAGATACATAAATGTTGAGAAGAATGCAAATGATGAGCAGCAAAGTTATTCAGGGAGCTGCCACAACCTAGAGAACTTCACGGAAATCAAGTGCATGTGCCTTTGGGAAGACTCCTGAGCCTGCAAAGAACACAAACTACAATTTCCTAATAAGGAAACACATCTGTACTGAAGAGTGAATACTGAAAGGTACACGAGTGTTACACATGTCAGGGTACAGAAACAATTTGGTGCGTGATGAAACCACAAAGCCTCGCTCGAACTTCCAGCCACCATCAGCCTCACTACACCCGCCTCCTCAAAAACCTGGGAGACTGAGTAAGGACCCTAAGTCCACCTGTCAACAGCCCACAGAGTATCAATGCACGAACCTCTGCCAGCGCTGTCAGTAAACCTTACTACACGGTCTCTTCGCAGAGACAAACTGGCCAGAGGAACTCACCGGGGCGGGGTCGGCGGGCCGGTCGCCGGCAGGTTCCTCCTCTCCGAGGAGCGGGGCGGGCTCGTCGGGCGGCGGGCGGGCCGGGAGGGTGTCGCAGCAGCTGGCGGCCGAGAAGCGCAGGTGGCTCTTGCGCGAGTCGGCCGTGAGAGACACGTCGTGCGAGTAGGAGTGCAGGAAGGCGCGGACGCCGTCGATGCCCACGAAGTGCGTGGCAGGCACGCCGCGCAAGGCGGCGCCG